GAGGGTAAGGCACAAGAGCCATCTGCAGCAGTGCCTAAGGTCATGCAGCAGCAAGCCATGCAGCAGTCTCAGCAGCTTCCTCAAAAGGTATCCCACTACCCCTACTCCATATTTCCGCTTTTGGGGCTTCTACTTGAGCAAGCTGTTTTTTTGATGGTTTTCGATGCCGCGTTTATTTCTAGGTGCAGTCGCAGGTGATTCAGGAGACCGTGGTCCCCAAAGAGCCACCCCCCGACTTTGAGTTCATTGCGGACCCTCCATCGATCTCTGCGTTTGATCTGGATGTTGTGAAGCTCACTGCGCAGTTTGTGGCTCGCAATGGCCGACAGTTTCTCACCCAGCTGATGCAGAAGGAGCAGAGGAACTACCAGTTTGACTTTCTGCGCCCACAGCACAGCCTCTTCAACTATTTCACCAAACTGGTGGAACAGTACACGAAGGTGAACTACAAGGTTCAGCCTTAATCTGATTCAGTTGTCTGTGCTACTGTGTAGATGTTAACTACACTTTAATCTGTCACTCTTTTAGATCCTGATCCCTCCCAAAGGCCTGATAATCAAACTTAAAAAAGAAGCTGAGAACCCAAAGGAAGTTATGGACCAGGTAATTTCTTATAAGTGGAAAACGGAAAGCTAATCATTGCGGATTTCCCCTGTTAATTGATTGTTTTCGGATTCAAAAATCAGGTGAGGTACCGCGTCGAATGGGCAAAATACCAGGAGCGTGAAAGAAAGAAGGAGGAAGAGGAAAGGGAGAAGGAACGGGTCGCTTACGCACAAATAGACTGGCATGATTTTGTGGTGGTGGAGACGGTGGATTTCCAGCCCAACGAACAAGGTAGTATATCAGCAATTAGTTTATGCGTGCAAGCTGGGCATTTAGTTGTTTTGACTTTGTTTGCTTTTGTTTTTCTTCCCTCAAGGTCACTTCCCTCCACCCACGACACCAGAGGAGCTTGGGGCTCGCATCCTGATCCAGGAGCGCTACGAGAAATATGGAGAAAGCGAAGAGGTGGAGATGGAGGTGGAGAGTGAGGATGAAGAGGATGAACGAGAAAAGCGGGCTGATGGCCAGCCTTCACAACCTGATCAAGACACACAAGTCCAGGACATGGACGAGGTGAGAACTTGGCAGAGGAGTCAGGCAGAATCTAAACAAGCCCATTTGTACCAATTTTAGATCGGATAAAGAATGAGTGCTTTGTAAATGTTTGTAGAAATCTACAAAGCACGTTGCCAGTGCATGACTTGAAAGTAGTACTTTTAAAAGATCTGCTTTAACAGAATTTTCCATGCGTTTCTTCAGGGATCTGATGACGATGATGAAGGTATGAAGGCTCCATTGCCACCAGACAACCCGATGCCACCTCCCCTGCCTCCAGCTCCAGAACAGGTTATTATTCGCAAGGACTACGACCCCAAAGGTAACTTTTAATTCACTCATTTATATCTTAGTTTACTTTGATCCAAATAATCGTTTCTATGTTGTCTTTATTGTTGTACCGTAAAAAAAAGTGATGATAAAAACTTATTACAATTATTTTGGTATTAGTAGATATCCACATTGAAATGTCTGTAGGAGGACTGGAAACTGATCAAATTCGTGTTATTTTGCCCTTACAGCTTCCAAGCCACAGCCCTCGGTTGCACCTCCTGACGAATACCTTATTTCACCAATCACCGGTGAGAAAGTCCCCGCCAGTAAGATGCAGGAGCACATGCGCATCGGCCTGCTGGATCCGCGCTGGCTTGAACAGAGAGACCGAAGCATTAGAGACAGGCAGACTGAGGATGAAGTCTACGCTCCCGGTTTGGATATTGAGAGCAGCTTGAAGCAGCTCGCTGAGAGGCGTACCGATATCTTTGGTGTGGAAGAGACGGCCATCGGAAAGAAGATCGGTGAGGAGGAAATTCAGAAGCCAGAAGAAAAGGTAGGAATAGCTGTTGGTTCAAAAATCTCAAAACATGAAATCATGACAGTTTATTTATTTCCTTAAATATGAACAGTTTGTGTTTTGTTTTTCTATTTTTCTGCGTCTTTTGTTCTACAGGTCACCTGGGATGGCCACTCGGGGAGCATGGCTCGTACGCAGCAGGCAGCGCAGGCCAACATCACTCTGCAGGAGCAGATCGAAGCCATTCACAAGGCCAAAGGACTGGTGGGAGAAGATGAAACGAAGGAAAAAATTGGTCCCAGCAAGCCAAGTGAAATTCACCAGCCTCCTCCCATCCCCTCATCAGCACCAAATCTGCCTAAACCCAGTCCTCCTGTCACAGCCGTGTCACGCCCACCTGTCTCAGTAAGATGTTATTCAAAATGGTTTAATGAAGATCAGAGAAGGAAGCAGACAGATCACAGATTAAGCTCTGGATAATTTAAAAATGGAGTTAGGTTGTTAAAATTCTGGAGTTCTTACATCATGCTGATCATATGAACTGTTAATCAGAGTATGATATGGTGCTGCTAAAGCTACAGTAGCTTTTCTCCAAAAGTGATACTCAAAAATTCACAATAAAAAAAATGGTTTTGTTAAATAAACAGTTCAACACCAAAAACTAAAGAGTATGGTCTTTAGTTTAATGGAGTCACTTTTTTTAGAAGCAGTGCAAAATATTTAAATCTCACTTAAAAAAAGAAAAGCATCATTAAGAGTTATTCTTTTCAGAATCTTAGCTCTCTACCAGCTGTCATTTAGGTTATGAAAACGGTGATAAAACAAAATAAAGGGACCGTCATGGAAGAAAATCTCTTATTCTACTGATACTGATATTTGTAGTAATGTAGAAAAAGTTAAAGTGACACTCTAATTTGCCTTTCAACAGGTGGCTCCTCCAGTCCGTACCACTCTGTTGTCTGCCGTACCTGTGATTCCACGGCCCCCGGTGGCCCCCGTGGTGCGTCTGGCGCCAGGTCAAGTCATTACACAGATGCCGCCTATGATTCCTGCTCCTCGTGTCAACGTGGTTCCCATGCCACCAGCGCCCCACCTCATGGCCCCCAGGCCACCCCCTATGGTTGTTCCAACTGGTAAGCTCAAGGTTTCCCAGAATCGTCTTGGAAAGTGTTCATCATTCACTTCTTTTCTTTGTAATTATAGCTAAATGAAATTGTCTTTTCTTCCAGCGTTTGTCCCCGCTCCTCCCATGCCACAACCACCCAGCGCTGCCCCAGCGCCGCCCGTCCACCCACCCCCTCCTCATGAGGACGAACCAATGAGCAAGAAGATGAAGACGGAGGACAACCTCATCCCAGAGGAAGAGTTCCTTCGCCGAAACAAGGTCTGTTAGTAACGGTGCATAGAACTACACTGAATTATGTGCAGCTAAGATTATTTATCCTAACGAAGGTTTTAAGATAACCTGCACTGTGCAGAAAAATAACATATACACCTTGATTTGAAAAGAAAAATTTAAATTGTGGAAACACTATTTCTGGCTGCATTTTATAGAATTTTGGCCACAACGGTTGAAGGTCTACTCCGTCACAGTGGATGTGATCACATTGGACATTACTTTTGTAACATGGAGTGTGTACAAACAAATCCAAATGTTCTTTGTTTTGCCACATTTCTTGCTCCATTTAGGGTCCTGTGGCAATCAAAGTGCAGGTCCCCAACATGCAGGACAAGAGCGAATGGAAGCTAAATGGCCAAGTGTTGAATTTCACTGTCCCACTTACAGACCAGGTATGTTAATATACATCTTTTTTTTTTTTAAATGTGTTCTTAAAGATGTGCCCGTTTCAGACTTATGGATAAATAAATGAAATGTGTTTACAGGTGTCTGTCATTAAAGTCAAAATCCATGAGGCGACAGGCATGCCGGCTGGAAAACAGAAATTGCAGTATGAGGTCAGCTTGTCTCTTACTTCATTGGAACATTTTATTAAATCCAAATTAATCAGATTTACAGATTCGTGACAGTCATGTTTGTTTTACAGGGCATATTCATCAAGGATTCAAACTCTTTGGCTTATTACAACATGACCAATGGTTCCATCATTCATTTGGCTCTGAAGGAGAGAGGTGGAAGGAAGAAGTGAGACGTTCGAGACAGAAAAAGTTATTACGCTACTCATCCCTAGTGCATCGGTTTAGTTCAGGAGAACATTTAGGAAAAATGCTTGCTTTTTTTGTCTAAAGTTATTTTGTCCTTCAGTGGCATGTTGTTTCTAATTAGTAGTGATTTTTAGTTTCAACTCCTGATTTATCCATGACATATGTACACTGATGTTGCCCTTACAAGTAAATTGCTCAAAATATAGATTCCTGACTTGCTTGCTCATTTTAAATAAAGGACTTAAAAATCATTTGTTGCTGTTTGACATGTAAATTATTGTTCAGCCCTGACTCATAATGTATTTTGACCAATTGTTTACAAACTGGTGCACAGCTGGTATTTGGCCTTTTGTGAAATTCTATTTTTAAAATTGTATCAACAAGGTAAACACAAAGCACATTGCCTGAATGATTCAGTGAGCCCAGTCAAGAATAGAATACAGCAAACACAACTTTAATTGCCCATCAATGGGGAAAGTCAGAAACATTTTTGAAGTAGTTAGAGCACATCCATCTTTAGATTTAAAAATGCACTTCTTCAAGGAGAGGTTTCAATATCTGCTCAGATATGCTTTTCAGACATATGACAGCCATTTTGGATTGTGAGGTCCATGAGGGAAATGCCAGGTTTCCCTCGTGGGTGTCCAACTTTTATTTTTTCCTCAACTTTAAAAGTTAAAGTGTCTCTTTTTTTTTTTTCCTCTTTTGTTGCTTTTTGCTTAAAGGCACAGCAGGCCGTAAAGTATGAGTGGAGATGTAGTGCTGCTTCACAATGTCTTAACAGTAAAGTACTACCTGGAAAACACAGCGGCGCTATTTATTATATAATTTACAATCGGTGTAAATGGGCGCTAAAAGGTGATTTATTCTATTCTTTATTCAGCCACTAGGGGTAACCATAACATCACCTTAGGAAAAATCCAGCCTGAGTGTGGATCTGGCTGCTCCCTGGTCGAAGCAGTCTGTCCAGCTGTAGCCTCGGAATGACAGCACAGCACATTATCCCAGTACTAGCTGAGCTCAAAATAAGTTTAATTACATAGACGCTATGGGTTGTTAGTGTCTAGGACCTGGTTTTATGTGATGTAACTGTGATGAGTCGAAGGTAGGAGCGGTCAGAAATAGTTTAGGGTCGTGTTAGTACGAGCGGTTAATGCTAACTAACAATTAGCTTGCTAATGAGGAATTTAATGCAAGTTTAACCGCGAAGGCTAACGGGTAAATTATTGAATGAGGTCCGATAAAAGAGGCTCTGGAACATTTTGCAACCGGGGCGGTTGTTGGGGAAAGTTTTATTGAGATTTAGGAATCATGGCGTCGATGTAGTTTTGACTGAGTTTGGGGCTGTCAACAAGCTCGCTGCTGACGTTAGCTAAACCTGGCTAGCCAGCTAGCTCTCCTTCCATCATGGCCAAAACAGAGAACGGCCGACCGTCCGTGGACATGGGGAGCATCAGGACGCTGAACAGCAGCCACATGGAGGATGAGAGCTCCTTGGGATCCGACTCGGAGATCAACGGCTTCACCAGCGAGAGGCAAGCCGACAGATACGGCTTCATCGGCGGGGCGCAGCAGTACTCGGAGGAGTCGTAAGTTTGTTTCTGCTCGAGTGGTGATTCAGTCCCACACAATGTTGTTTTGCAAGCATATTCTAAATGAAACTAAAACATGGGAGTGGTGGAATCCATTCCAGATTGATTGCACAAAATGGGCATTGTGATACTTTTAATGTGATGAAATGCCAGAAGTCAGGGCTGTGATGTTCAGTTGACTTGCATGAGGTGGAAAGCTCCGAACCAGCTGCGTGGCACAGCTCGTCTTTCTCTCCCTTTTTTTTTTGTTTCAACTCCATCATGTTTCTCTTACCTTTGATAAATAATATTCGGATTTTGATTTTTTAACATTAAGATTCACCAATAACAATCAGTAGAGATCTAGGAAATCACAGGGTATACTGTTTTTTTTTTTTTTAGGTAAGTGTTGTTTTCCACTGTATTTCAATCTGGATATCTGATTTTAATCCAATCCACAGCCGATGCTATAGGATTTATTTGGATTGCATTGTGCTTTCTACAGAGGCATTTCTTCTCCTTTCATGGCAACGCTAAAAAAGTGAAAGGAATGAGTGAAAGCTGTGCCAGTCACTCCCCAGGTTCTTTTTCTGCAGTAGTGTTGGCAGGCGAAGAGCCCCATCTTTTGGTGCCCTTATACTAAAGGGCCTCTTTTGGCTCCGTCTGTTGGTCTCTTACTTATGGGTTTGCTTACAGTGCTTGGCAATAAAAGTAACTTGATTGTTGAAAGCCTAAAAGGGAGTATAACTTCTTGTACTTGTGCACCACATCCAGCCTACACATTTAGCTGACTGAGAGCTCTCCTGTGTGTGCGTGTGTGTGTTTTCTTAAAGTTTACTCTGACTGAGTTTTAACCCTGCTATTACAGGCTTGGGCTGATGAGATAATTACACACCTCAGTAAAGCATTAGACATCCTGTGTAATGTTAGCTTTGACCAACTTAACGTCTTTATTTCTGCTGGAGAACTTTCTCATTTTATTCGTTTGGATAAAATCACTTCAGGTCAGCTCTGAAGCTGTTTAAGTCGGCTTCATCCGAGTACATTTGGTTTTAGTTGTTAACGTATAAAATCAATAACAATCTAATCCAAAACAATGGAGATGCTCCGCTTGATTGGTTTTCATTTGATCAAATACCACTTTTTTTTCTTCCTATTAGACACACTACAGCTCATAGCTCCAACCTTTTCAAGTCTTTAAACACATCAACCAACAGTCTACACTTATTTGGCCTATTTAGAGTTTAATAAAAATCAAATCAAGATGCAAAAGTCTGAATACATTTTGTATTTCCTTCATTTTTTTGTTTGAGTCATGCAGACCCTATCAAAGATCTTGCAACACAATTTTGTCTTACAGGCCTTAAAATACATAGCAAAAAGGATGAACACTTAAAGATTAGTTGCTTATATTTTAAAATAATTTATTTAGTTAGAATTAATGTTTCACGTGACAGATGTATTCACTATAGATTTAGTTGGTATGAAGATCGTCAGCGTCTTTATAGTCGTGTGTAAAATAACATGGTTTTATGATGTGTTTGGTTTTTCCACAAATTGTTTAAATTAAAATGTGTAGCGTGTCAAATTTTAAATAGCAAGGTAAAAAAAGGCTAAAATAATTTGACATGTTGATAAATTAATTTACTTTGATGTTTGATGTATGAGCTTAAACAAACAAAAAAAAAAAGAAAATAGAATAAACGCAAATTAAATTTGGTAGTTTTCAAGTGGCTAGAGTGTAGAATATTAGAGATTTTCCATTCTGCATAACAGCGTTACTGCGTGTAGGTTTCCAAAATTCTGTAATTTTAATTACGTTACATAAAAAAGAGTGGGTGGTGCGCCTTCAGTTTCCATGTCATCACTGTTTCTTGTTTTTTTTTTTTTTTTTTGGCAGCCAAAAATATGTCCAAGGAGGCTAATTTGTCTTTCTTAGCAAGGAAAAAATATAGTAGTAGCTTTTTCAGCCAGCTGAATGGCAGTCATTAAAAGGCTCATCAGCCACAGTAGCATGAACTTTTTAAAACCTTGGTTTATGCTTCTCCGGCCTTTCTCTTGGCAGACATTGCTCATACTTGTCCAAATTAAACGTAACTTTCTTTCAGTGTGTTTTGTATATTCATTCATATTTTACCTCCTTTTCACTCCCCAGGGCTCAGGACGTCCCCCCTGAGGTGCTGAGGCAGCGCGAAGTCAAGTGGCTGGACATGCTCAGCCACTGGGACAAGTGGATGATCAAGAGGTTCAATAAGGTCAGCGCCTGCTATCAAAACCTGCTAAGTCGATCGTTTGTGTGTCTTGAATCGTGTTGTTGTCGGAGCTCAAGCTTCCATCTCTGTTGCTTCAAGGATTTTTAATTGCGCAAGCCGAGATTTTATGGACTTATTGTTTGCGGATCCACTTGTCTAGCAAGTTCTGTGTGAACCGTTCTCTGCGACTTGGCGACGGGCTGGAACGTCACCTCGTTTCCGTGAGTCAGCAGCAAGCCAGGACACAGCCCTGTTTTGTTTCGGGGGGTTTTAAATCACACTGCAGCATGTGACAAAATGACTGTCTCAGCTGCAGGGCGGGCCCATACTTACTTTCTATGAGAGAGCCATGTAATAAAGGTGCTGTAAATGTAAACTGCCAGTGCATTATAAGCATGCATGGAGTCTGAAGAAGGAAGCCGTGATGGTTTGGGGTTTGTTTTATTGAAATCACTTCTTACTATTAAAAGAAAACTTTTCATACAGGAACCCTCTCAGATAAGACCACAATATGAAATGTGCTCAGTTTGTTGCCTCATGTACGGTTTGTTGTTGTTATTCGTAGAAGATCACAGCTCCCGTAATTAGAGATATTATGTAAGACGTGTAGGGCTTAAGCTTTTGTTGCATTCCTGAATGTGCTGATGGCACAGTTTGGTCCAACAAAGGTCAACATAATCCTCCCACAAGTTCCAAGCCAATCAAGAAGCTTGCTCTGTGTATTTTGTATTTGTTTAAGTTTTGGCCCACCATATTCTTTTTATCTACTTGCTGATCTCAGTTCTTTACCCCAGGTTTCTTTTAAATTTAAATTAATCTGAATGTTATTAAAACTTGAAACTGTGGGTTCATAATGTGCAGTCTTGCAAAATCTGCATATGAAAATATAATTTTCCAGTTCTGGAGAACTTCACAGATGCATCTTAGATGATCTATTGCAATAAAAATAAAGTGAGCCTCTCATATCGCTTGACCACACGGTGATAAAGGTCAGTCATTGATTTCTAATCATTTTGATGATTGTCGCTTATAAAAACACCATGTTCATTGTTAATTAAAATATTACATAAAACCAACAAGAAAAAAAAATTAAGAGGGAAGTTTTTCTCTCCTGAAAAATATGCCTAATATTCTCCTGGTAGACGTCTCCTCTCACTATGGACCTGGTGAAGCCCAGCGGACCAGCAGCGTCACCACATGGCTCCCTTAATCATTCCTGACTGAAAATGTCACATTGAGCCTCCAGCACATGGATTCTGTGCCTTTCTGCTCTTTGGCCATAGTTTCTAAATACAATCTGAAATTTCCTTTCATCTGAAAAAGGGACTTTGGACCAGTCCTGTCCTTTGTCTATTGGACCCTACAAGACTCTTCTGATGTTGTTTCTTACGCACAAATTGAGTGCATTCCATCTGCTTGTCACATTTATGTGTGCTGGCACTGGAAACACCAACTCTAGCCACATCCACACCTTTTTTATGTCAGGATCACATTTCCTGAGAAACTGAATGTGGGGTTTCCTTTAAGCTGTGAGCTATTAGCATCAAAATTTTCAGAAATAAAAGCATGAAAGATGTCAAACTCTGTGACATTAATTGCTATTTAAATGTCATATTTTCTTTGGTTTATCACATTGCCACATAAATTTATTCAGTAATGAAGTCCAATCTAATGAAGAATCTGGCTGTTTTTATCAGTTTTATGATTTCTTTTTTGTGGAACATAAATTACAGATATTGAAACCCAATCAGATTGTTCCGAAAGCCGATAGAAAAATCCAGAAGTGTAAATATGTAGTAATTTAGAAATGTAGTAATTTAGAAATATTTTGAAATGTTTAGAAATGTAGTAATTTAGAAATGTTTGAACTCAGAAGTGTTTCTGAGTTCAAACATTTTAAACATGTCACACCAGTCTCTTTAAAGCTTGCACTGTAACTGAATAATACTATCCTGTTTTTGAAGTTGCAAGCTGTGATCAAAACCAGACAATTTCTTCAAGCAAAAGAGGACAAAAAAAAAAAACCATAACAAAGAATTAAGGCTCTTCCTTTAGGTTTTTAAGACGCAGTTCATAAGTGTTTCATTGACTTTTGTTTAGCTTTGATCCACTTGCTCTTTGGTCGATGTTTTCATTCAGTAAAATTCGACTTCTGGTTCAGGTGAGACTCCGTTGTCAGAAGGGGATTCCTCCCGCCCTGAGAGGTCGCGCCTGGCTCTACCTTTCAGGAGGGAAAGTGAAGAGGGAACAGAACCAAGGAAAGTTTCAGGTCTGTCGACTTCTTCTTTCACTTCCTCCTCTTCTGCTCCATTGTTGCTGTATTTTGACCTCATTTCTTTCTTTTTTTTTTATATTTCTCTGGAAATTTTTACTGAAACTGACCAGCTTAGATCTACAATTAGATACTTGTGTCTGCGATATCTAATTGGTTTTCCAATTTGAATGCAGCCTAAGAAATCTTTTGATTCCCTTTTAGTAGTTACTGTATGACATTATAACTAGCTTTATGACAGTAGGGCTTACAAAAACATGATCTCTAAAGTATATTCCTTATATCTTCATGTAGTAACTGAACAGAAACCATCTGATTTCTGATTTCTGTTTTGTCAGGAGCTGGACAGTCAGCCAGGAGACCCGAAATGGCTCGACGTGATCGAGAAGGATCTCCATCGACAGTTTCCTTTTCACGAGATGTTTGTGTCACGAGGAGGACACGGGTGAGTAATCGGATGTGTCGGGGTCTGATTCACACTTTTAATTAGCGATTGTGTCTTTGTTTGACAAAGAATGTGATTAAATCCTGCGTATGTTTGTGTTTCGGCCCTGTGCAGGCAGCAGGATCTGTTTCGTGTTCTCAAGGCATACACTCTGTATAGACCAGATGAGGGATACTGCCAGGCCCAGGCCCCGATTGCAGCTGTTTTACTGATGCACATGCCTGCTGAGGTATCACTCTTTTGCATGCACACACGCATAAATCAGCTGTTGTTCACCCCCGTTCTGATGAAGATATTTTACAGTTAAAAATACTTGGATCACAGGACTTGCTTTGAAGCGATCAGGTTTTTTTTTGTTTGTTTTTTTTTAGGTCAGCAGCACTATGATAAACTTTACAAGTGATAAAATGCCAGGAAAGTGAGCTACTGTTTTAAGTCTTCTGTGGAATCTTAGTGAAGCAAAGATGCTAATCATCTTAATCAGTGGTTCGACAGCTTATTTCCTGTTTTTGATGATTTGTAGTTGGTTTTCAGATCTTCGTCAACCACTTTATCTGACATATTCACACACACGTTTTTGTTTCAGTTCCTCATTCAGAGTTATAGTATTATAAATAAAGACGGAATAGGATGACTGTAAATACCAAGTGTTTTCAAAGTAATTTAAGGATGAGGAACTGTTCTCCACATGATAGTTTTTGTTGAGTATTTGTTTTTGTACACTCATTGTAGGCATGTTGCCTGTATTTAGGTTACAGTCCTTTAGCTACTTTCAAATTTCAGTTTTTTTTTTTAGGTGTTTTTTGTCACGTTTAAATGTTTCTGATTATTGTTAATTCCGGACAGAAGTCACCTGATTATGTGCAAAATTCAATACTGAAATGAGGATTGCATTTTTAAAAGCTAATCTAACCAATAAAAAAAATAATCACCTCCCTTGTTTAATCATCAACTCATTTTAATTAACTTCAGTTTTGTGCGTGTTTAGTTTAGCTTCCCCAGCTACACCCTGGCCTGAGTCCTGTTAGTCCCTTGCAATCAAGAAATTTCTTCAGTATGAACATTAAAATATGTCTCGTTATATAAAGTTCTCTAAAAGAGCTCTATAAGCAACACATCATTCCCCGATCTAAAGAAATGTAACAGTTTAGAAACAAAATCAATCCATAAAGAGTTGTAAAGCCATGACTAAGGCTTTGGGCCTGCAGAGAACCAAAGTGACAGCATTATCCACATATGGAGAAAACCTGGAGCAGTGACATCTAGGTTATCCCCAAGACCATTTCAAAGGTGAAACGTTTTGGAAGATGTGTGTGGCACGATGCTGGCAGTATGGTGGTGTGGGATTATTTTGTTTTGTACCTGGATGACTTGAATGCTCTTGAGCAGAGATCCTGAGTGTCCAGGAATCAGCTTGTGACCTGAATCTCAAATGTGCTTGAGATTTGCACCAAGTCAAAACACACTAGCAAGTCCACCTAAGAATGAGGGGGGAAAAAGCTAAATCAATTTGCAATTTCTTTTCTAAGTGGTCTTAGAAAAGAAAGGAATCTGCAACCTTAAAATGTAAATATTCTATTAATAAAACTGGAAAATAGCTACAAATTGCGTTTATTACATCTGTTTTTAACACTTTGGTTGTTTCATTTGTAGTCACATTTTTAAGCGCTGCCATGGAAAATCCAAAGACACAATTCTTTTTCTAGAGATGAGACATAACTGGCCTTTGACTAGGCCTTCGACTGTGGCTTAGTTAAAGGCCAGACTGAATTTGAAATGTTCTGGGATTTTTTGAAACATACATTTCTAGATAAAGCCCCTCCAGTGGGGCTGAATTAATTAGATTTTCCACATAATAGTGAGCCAGATTTCCTCCACGGCAATTAAGGAGACTGATTGCAGTTATTGTTGCCGAACGGTGACTCAACCAGTTAGGTTTAGGGAGCAATTCATTTTTATTTACTTACAAGGGCTACCACACAATTTTTTTTGTCTCTGTATTAATTTTGAATTCTTTGTAAATAAAATGTAATTCATAATCTCAAACATTTGACTGCTACAAAACAACAGAAGAAGTCTGAAACTATAAATACCTGTTGAGATATAAAGATGCTGCTCTTGTAACTCATTGAGGATAATTGGACAATTAATTACTTTCTCTGTAAGCATGTTGTGCTGCTATTTTGTTTGCAAAATACATGCAGTGCAACAGTCATGAAGATGTTGGTAATGGTTTCTATGGGGATGCTCTGTTTGTTTTGGCAGGATGCTTTCTGGGGATTGGTCCAAATCTGCGAGAAGTATCTTCCTGGTTACTACAGCCCTGGCTTGGTGAGACACATATAAGAAAGCATGCACAGTATGACATCACCTGATGTTGCGTAAACAAAGGAAGTAATCTCAGCGCACATGGACAAGTTCTAGCAATACTGACACCATACGACAGGATTGTTGTGGTTGAAGCTTTCTGATGAAACGATGTGAAGTTTTGTTTTTTCTCTCTCTCTTTTCATACTCTTCTTACTTTTACGTCTCTCAGGAAGCGATCCAGTTAGACGGAGAGATCCTGTTTGCTCTGCTGCGCCGCGTCTCCCCACTAGCCTTCCGGCACCTGGAGAAACATAAGATCGACCCCGTCCTATACATGACCGAGTGGTTTATGTGTGCCTTCTCCAGGACCCTGCCCTGGGCTTCAGTGCTGCGTGTCTGGGACATGTTCCTCTGTGACGGTAAGAAGCGGCTCCGTGTGCCTTAGCTCTGGAACTAAGCATCCTAGTTGAAACCTCCCCCTGTTTTTTTTTCTCTTTCTCTCTCTTAGGAGTCAAAATCATTTTCCGGGTGGGTTTGGTGCTGCTTAAGTGCACACTAGGGACTCGTGAGAAGCTGAAGACCTGCCAGGGTCTGTACGAAACCATGGAGCTCCTCCGGGCCATCGACCCTCGCTACATGCAGGAGGGATTCCTGGTCCGAGAGGTAAGAGCAAAGGACACGGAAGTTCCTCCTCTGTGTAAAATAACGAGACGATTTTATAACTAGTGGTTGCAGATGAGATTTGTGATTAGATTTTTATTAGATTGCTTTCTGAAGTGGTGGTTTCCCTGAACTAAATGCTGTGTCGTAACTTGCTGTTGACGTCAAACTTGAAGGGGATGTCTTCGGATGGAATCGGCATGTCCACCAATATTTCATTTAACCCCAGTTAATATTTTATTATGACTAAAATGCTGACATGCAAACAATATTTCATGACCATATTGAACCAGTTCAAATCCTTTTCTTTGGCCGTGAACAATTAAATTCGGGAATTAGATTTCATCTGGACGTATAAAAATCTTAATTATTGACTCAAAAAATCCTATTTTCTTCTGTACAGTTGAGACATTACTTTTAAGCCCTGCTAGCAACTCCTTGTGAAATTCAGGTATGAAATAAATTTCAAACATCTGTTGAACCGCTCTGTTTTAAAGCTGAAATGAGTTCCCAATCAGCCGACATGTTGGAACGGCTTTGTACAAATGCTTTAGGGCGGCGTATTGCAGCACAGCTAATTTAAAGAAGCAGAGCTGAGATGTTAATTCTACTCAGCGATCAAAACCTCTATGTGATTCCAGTACGTTAAAGTTAGCCTCCCGTTGTAGTATACTTGAAATGCCAAGATACAAAACATTGAGGCCAAACCTGAAACTGTTGAGAGAGTGAGCGACCTGATGCCACCAATGCTGCTTAGCTGTGAGAGATTGTGCGGCTAAAACCTTTGCCTTTGCCTACATCACCCACAATGCTCTGCGGTTCTGGATCAGAGTTCAGTGAAATGATTGAATATTGTTAGTATTATCTATTGATATTGATCATGTGTCTATTGTGATATATAGTGTTATTGATGTATTTTTGATAGTTTTTTCCCTCCCTATGTGGAGGAAAAAAAACTTCTGCATCTGTGTTTCAGGGTGTTTGCTTTTCTAAAATGAGAAAGCACTCGTTTGCTGCATTGATCTTTACTTTTGATCGCCATGGTAACATCTTTATGTCTATCTTACGACGCGTTGAAAAACTATTCATATGCGTAAAAACTTCACACGTAATGCATTTTACACTGTGTTCCAAATTATTATGCGAGTGATATTTTCCTAAATGGTCAATGCAAATGATGGTCAGCAGAGAGATCCTTTCTCTTTCCCAAATTGTTTGAAACCTGTGGCCTGCTTAATGATGTGGAACATCCTTCTTAAATAGATCTCCTTTAATTGAGCAATTGGCAAACTAATCAACCCAGCTTTCTGAAATTAGTGACTCAAAGAGCCCTGACACACAATGTAATCTGTAAATGTAGTGGCACAACAAAAATATAATCTTTATGACACTTAAATCCAATTTGCATAATAATTTGGAACGTGGTGTATTATGATTTCATATGAAAGGACCTACATAAAGTATTGTTCAACTCTGAAGTGAAAGGAAAATGCTGCAGTGTCTAGAGTCTAACATTTGTCTGCAAGCCATGCATCATTCGGTTTCTTCTATAGGCCCAGTCTTACCAACAGTGGGTTTCTCAATGTGGGCATGAAGTTGGAAAGAACAAACGGATGTCACGGATTTAGAGAAGAGTAGAGTCTGAGAGTCAATTAACTTGACAAGAACCAGACCTATTGAGCAGAGCGCCACATGGGCAGTGTCTGCTCACGTACTAAGCTGTGTAAGAGCCTCTGTCTCCTCTAACAATAACGGCTCTCATGTATAGGGCTGTCTCCACTGTGGGTGACCGAGTATCCACAGCAGCTCGCTCTCCTTTGACATTTACTGACAAAGGAGAACTTCACAATTCTAGCATGAACAGTCTAACATGGATGGGATTTATTTTCCAATGTGGGCTCCTCTGTCTTTTCTTGCCTCACACTTTCCTAGTGACGTCCGATTTGGTTTTTATTCTGCCCCGATCTTTTCAGATTCTCGAAGTGCCCGTGACGGCGCGGGACATAGACAGAGAGCATCACACCCAGATCAAACGCTGGAAGAAGAACCGCGGCGAGCTGAACTTCAGGCCCGCCCCGAGGATGCACGGCGCCCGCATCATCATGCAGGCCGAGCCGCCCAGGCGCCAGGACCTGCAGCAGAACCCCACCATCGTGCTGGAGGTTCCCGAGCCTCCCCAGAAGCTGAACAAGGGCAAAGAGGAGCGGAAGAGCAAGAAGAAAAAGAGCATGAAGAAACCGACTGCCATCGAGGAGATCCCAAACCCATACCCTCTCCCCACAGATACGCCTCCACAATCTTTGAATTCTCCTCCACCATCTTTGAATCCTCCTCCACAGGCTTTGAATCCTCCTCCACCATCTTTAAATCCTGCTCCACCATCTTTGAATCCTCTTCCACCATCTTTGAATCCTCCTCCACCATCTTTAAATCCTGCTCCACCATCTTTGAATCCTCTTCCACCATCTTTGAATCCTCCTCCACCATCTTTAAATCCTGCTCCACCATCTTTGAATCCTCTTCCACCGTCTTTGAATCCTCCTTCACCATCCTTGGCTACGCCTCCACCATCCTTTGATCCGCCTTCTCCATTCTCAGATCTGCCTCCTCCATCCTTGGCCCCGCCTCCCCCATCCTCAGATCTGCCCTCTCCGCCTCCTTACGCCACTGAAACCCCGGAGACCTCGCCAGAAACTGAAATAAACTCCAATCACCAGCAGAGTGCGCCTCCTACAGACCTTCCTGCTGCCAAAGAGTCTGCTCTCCAGCAATCCACACAAAGCCTTAGCAGCTCAGAGCAGGATACATACCTGTAGCTGTAAAAGCTGCACAGCCGTGTGTGTATGTGTGTGTGTGTGTTTTCATACGTTTGTGTGTGTAAAAAGCACCAGCACCCTACAATCAAAAAGCCAGCCTCGCCGGCGTCTCCCAACCGGCCAGCATCCTCGTTAATCTTAGCGCTGGACTTTTCTCTTTTTTGTATTCATGTTTAACACACTTTTTTCTGTATTATTATTCACATACTCTAAAAACTTAAGTGCAAAGTGTACAACTACTCAAATCCCATTAGTTGACTACGTCAAGCCACTTTAGGTGCTGAATGCTCACTGCAAGTCTTAATGTTCAGTTTAAAGTTGTTAAGTTACAAAGTGTTTGTCTTTGTGGATTAACATAGAAGATGCCAAAGTTACGCAACTTCCGCTAAATCTCAACACTAGTAATTCAACAGATAACACGCCAGCACACCTAGACTTTTCTGATTTAGTCCACCAGAGGGCAGCCTCACACAACCTCAACCTGTTTTTTCACATTGCCGGGACAACTGACCACAGTACTGAGTCACTAACTGTGCTCTCTTTTTGTATTTGCTTATCAGGAACATTTTTGCTTTCAGTTGAACTGTAGTACTGCAAAAATCTCTGGAGTTCATCGTCTTCCACAAGCAGGTTTCTACGTTATTGGACAAGAGAACACGGGACATTCCTCTTTCTTTGACACATTCCTGCCTTCTTAAAAGCTATTCACTTTTTGGAAGTGTCTCTTCACCATTACACAATATGCAGATCTGTGTAATGGTAGGACTGTGTGTGTGTGTGTCTGAGTGCACACGGACCTCGCATCAAAACACGGTCAGTGAATGACTACAGATCACCTGTTGGTGCTGACCTTTTCTTTTTACGTTACTTGAGAATTTGTAAGAACAAAGGTCAATTTTTGGGGGGACTTTTATTTAGTATTCTACAGCTAGATCTTCCAAAGAAAAGCAAGACTGTTCTGAGACTTAAATGTGACATTGTGCTGCATTCACGGTCAGTGGGGATTATGGGATTTCCATGTGGGAGATTTGTAGCGTTTTTCTATGCGATTACTTATACGGAGACGTTCAGGGGTTGTAAGGATTTTTGTATTTCCTCTTTCAAAACACAACAATACATGTCAGTCCAGCTCTTGTTACTTTTATCACTAAATGCAGGCACACACTTGTGGATGTGAGAGTGTATAAAAACGTCAAATAATATATGTGTATAAAAATATCTGTTAAAAAAAACCACTTAGAAAGCAGTGGGGATTAGGATAATTTGTGACATCTGTATGCAATTTCTTTTTTTCACATTTGTCTTCTGTGTTTAAATACTTTTTTTGTGTAGATATGACATGTATAAAAAAAAAAGATTTTTGTCTTTAAAAAAAAGCATAATGCTGAATTTGTACTGAGTGTTTAAAGAAACAGACTTTAAGTCAAAGTAGATTAACTTGACACTAGAAAAAAGGTTAAAATATGGAGTTTGCAGGAAACTTGCCACTTTTTTGTCTTCTTTTTTTCTACTCACTCCAAAAGGATTATTTTGTTGTTTATTTACACTAGAGATACAGATGATGTGTGATTAACACGGAGGCTTGAGTTTTATAGTTGCGGGAAAAAATGTTTTTGGTTCTTCTCGCTTGAAACAGTTTGATTGCCAATAGTGCAGTGTGCCCTGCTCAACAGCAGATGGCAGACTGGAGTCACTGCTTTGAACTCTCCTCCACTGGGTTACATTAACTTTTTTTTTTTTAATAATACAGTTGCACCTTTTTATAACTAGACGTATGGATAAAATTAACTGCATATTTCCATTACATTTGTAAACATGCTACAGCTGAGGTTGACGTTACGGCTCTCATTTTGAATAAAGTCCATAAACGTACGTAAACATGAATGCATTTTTGACTTGCTGTTTATGGGGCCAGCTCCTGACCTTTGTGTTTCTGACTTAGAAAGAAAATCTACACAATTACTGCCTGTTCCCACACATATGATAGTTTAGATGATACATTTAGAAAATGATGGTCTTTTATGACGGCATTTTGTCAGGAAAAATTGCCTCCAGATATTACACTGTAACATTTTATCATCAATATCAGCTTAATTTAGTCTCTGTAATGCCTATCTGTATTATGCCAAGTCTATCATCTCAGGCAGGAATAAATGGTACTGAAACTTATCTAGGAGTCCATGACATTTAATACATTTTCTATTAAATTAATTAATTAAACTCTTTAATGGTACATTTGAATAACGTCCCTTTAAACTCCTCATATTCTTCTTCTCGAGAGCAGAAGGTTCTCCTTATTTAGACCAGGGTTCTACAACCTGCTCTTAATCAAAGCAACACTTAATAATTTTGGTGAATGATTAATTAGATCTGACTAGTGTATTTAACTAAAGTAGACTGACTGTTTGTCAGTTGTCTATAAATCAGGGTCTTCAATTGACTAAAATGTGTGTTTGTGCATTACGATTGTGATTCCAACTAAATCAACCATTTTTTATTTATTTTTTTGCTAGTGAATAAAAACAAAAAGTAACTCAAGAAGAAAGTTCAATGATATTAAACCCAACTGCTCAACAGCAACTCAGTAACTTTAAGAAGGAAATGTAGAATTCAGGTTCTGCTTCCTGTGAATTCTGGATTTCTTCTTTTTTCTAAGACTTTCACGGCTCCAGACGATTCTTAACTCCCAAGTGAGAGCAAAAATGTCTTTCTGCTCTGTGAACAGTTCCTGACTTCTGGTTTAGACTAATTACAGGTTGCTATTATTTTCTTAATTCACCCTTTGAGCTCTCAAATTCTCCTTTCCTCCTCTTTGGGGTGAGAGATATTAGAGTTTGTGCCTCGGGCTTCAAAGAGTTCAGTGCAAATTGCAGCCTTGATGACCTCAATAAGCCTGTTAACTTGTTCTTAATCGTCCGGCAAGGTGTGAGCTGCAGCTGTTGACCGGTGGTCAGCAGGAGGTGAGCAAAGTGATTAACACAGGCAGCAGCTTGCAGGAAATTTAGAAAGTAGCCATGTTTAAAAAGTGTTTGATTTTCACAGCATCAGCTCAGGTGTGTGAAAGTATTCGCTCCCTGTGAACATTTTTTTTACTTTTTGCCACGACGGATCTGCAAATGATTTCATGTCGTAGACCAATATAAAGCAGCAAAGTAACTGGATCAAAGGGTCATGCTGTGGGAATTATTTCTGCAGGATGGGCAGAAACCTCTTGTCGTTGAGGTAAAGGTGAGTGAAGCTAAATTGCTTGAAAAACCAAAAGAAAACTTGAAAGTGAGGAAGAGAGGTTCTCTTTCCAGCAGGACAACGACCTAAACATGCAACCGAAGCTACAATGGAAAGATTAACGCTCAAAGTGGAATGGCCCAGTCAAAGTCCTGACATCCAGTCAGTTGAGAATCTCCAATAAAACGCGGGAGCTGCTGCCTGGTGATGCTCTCCACGCAGTTTGCTTGAGCCGTTTTGCAAAGAAGTCAGACTGATCAGTGTCTAAATGCCCAAGTGGCCACCGCCTATCACAGAGTAATCGATGCGATCGCACCTGATGTCTGATTTCACCTGAGCCGTCAGGAGGACATGATGGCGCCTGCTGGTGTTTCCCCCACATGAGGCACGGCAACAGTTAATGCCCGAGGTCCCTGTGAGGAATGCATGCACTGTCACGCTTTTCCTCTTTGCATCGGACACCTGGCCCTCTTTTGCCGCCACCGTGCCATTTACATCTCAAAGGGGGGTGAGCAAGAAGGCTTCCTCTGTGCTCACCCTTCCTCACCCCAGAAATGATCTGATTTATCTCTTCATCAACGGAAATATACGCCTTTCGGAGGGCCACTCAGCGGCTCTCATCTCCAGCTAATGAAGATGGTGGACGGAGCGGGAGGGGACAGGAATGGGGGGCAGAGGGAACAAAAAGAGGGACTTGTGATCCTTCATGTGATCCCAGGGCCCAACGGACCCCTTGTCACAATGCTTGATTCATTTGACGCGGGTGACTTTCTCTCGCTCTCTCCTCTCCCAGACTCGCTGTGCCGAGGCACAGGGGAGGCGGTGGTGTGTTTGGGGGAAATAACCGCGAGCAGCAGCGCATGTGTTCCTGATGTATCCGATTCCCACGTTTGATGGAGCATGACAGGTTGGCTCAGGTCAGATTAGAAGGCCACAGTAACTAATATGGAGGGGGCGACACTGGGATCGTCTGTGCAGGTGAACTTTCTGCAGCAGAGGAGAATAAAAAGTTATTTATGGCGCTGGGGGAAAACATCAGTCTTTGTGCAAGCCACATTAAGAGGAGAGGTCTCTATGCTAAGGCATGGGTGAATAACTGAAGCACCCTTCTGCCCTTTTATCTTCCGCTTTTAAGATTACAAATGAGTTTTCTTTATATGCTCCCAGACCTACAGGAGAGTTCCTGCCTTTTATGTTCAAACGCTGAGAGTTTTCTAGAAACAAACTGAGGTGAGTCTGGGCTCTGGACTCGCCGTCGTGTTCTGGAAACATGACAGCTCTGTAAATGTTTTTCCGTCCTGCGGCCCCTGCGAGCAACATTAGACCAACGTAAACAGAGACTACTGTTAAACGAGTGCTTGGTAATGTTTCCAATTTGCAGCGACGCAGGCCGAGACCTTCTTTTTTTATTTTTTGAGCTTACAAGTTCATGCCTGTTTTTGGAAAAGGCCACTTGGCATCCCGTCAGTTTCCATTTTATAATTTGACCTCCACTGAGAATCCACAAATGGCTTAGCTTGTAAATATGCCGTGGAATAACACCCGAAAATTCTCCCGGGTGCATTTTAGTGTTTCAAATGTCATCACGGTTCTCTTTCTGGCCGCTCCCAGAGGGCACACTCCTGTAAGGGATGCATGGAAATCATCAGCACGAGGGAGGGAGGGATGAAGAGGGTGCTGAGGTTTTCAAAATAGCAAGATCCACGACGGTTGGTTCAGGAGGTTTGAAATGACATTCTGTCATAAAGTTGTAAAGCCGCCGCAGCTCGTCCGAGTTGGGCCGAGAACAAAGCAAACTCTAAGCTCAAAAACATCATTTCACTTCACGAAAATCTAACGTATTTATCCAGTAGACGAATTTAGGGAAATGTCACATGCAGGCAGTGGAGGTTGGAGGCAGTGCGCCATTAATGATGTTCCCGTGTGAAACAGAGAAAGGTTTATATAGTGTTTCCAGTCAGCACAATTAGCGAGAAGAGTACCATTCATAAAGTCTATGAAAAAGCATTTAGTCAAACCATTATGATATGTTTTTTTTTTTTTGCTTCTTGCATTGTTCTTGTTCTTTACTTTTAATATGATCACAGCCATTTACCCTGACTGCACAATACTTGACATGTTACATTCTCAGTGCGTGTTTCACTCAGGAAGATCATTCGTGGTGCACTGCTTTCATCCCCACTCACCATGTAGCCTACATGGTTATTGGCTGCTTTGTAAATCCTATCCAAATGATATGATGACTTTACATTTTACAGTTTCTATGAGAGTGTTTGTTTTTTTTCTTAAGACTTTGCAAGTCCACTTTATTCTTGGAGTTTCCCAGAGTAGATATTAGCTTAATCTTCCTGGGCCAACAGATCTGGATTTTTAGAAAACATGGATTCCATGAATGTTTTCATCAGCACATCATTTACGAACCCCATGTTTAAAAATCCAATCTTATTCTGTTAAGAGTCTTGCTTTTTGAAGAACTTCAGCTTTTCTCTTTTTGGTTGTCAGCTTCACTCCTTGCACACTGAAGCACTTTCTTTGCCCTAACGTACGCTTTACAGTCTGATCAGTACATAGTAGGTAAGGTTCAGTGAGATCAGGTAATTTTATACATATTGCACTTTTTCAGCAACAATGTAATCGAAAGAAACAGGTAAAGAGACAAGCTTCTGAATCTCTTCAATGAACCTACTGATGTCAAAACAGATCCTCCAACACTGGCATTAAGCCTCTGCTTTCAAAACGTTGTGAAGCAACAAGCGTCTGTGTGACGCCGCATTCAAACATGGAGGCGTGTGGTAAATGAAAGGCAAGTGAGGCCTACTAAATGGTTCGGCCACTGCTGCCTGCTCTCCGTGCGCCCACAGGGCACTTTTGCTCCAAACGACCTATCGTGTTTGGGTTACGTCGGGGAAAATGTTTCACACCTGCATGGCTGCCGCGCTGCTTGAAAAGTTTCAGCCGTTTCATCTAATCTTAGTCACTTGTCTTTCCCGCAAGCCCCTTATCCCCGCAGCACCCATCCTCCCGACCTCTTGACCCCTCTGGATCCCCTGGCTTAACAGTGCCAGAGGCGCGTACAATTATGACTGTGAAGCCTCATCAAGCAAATGGAGCATGACCAGCGGCCACATTTTTCCCCGACACCGACCGAGTCCGGTTGACTCGCCTCTGTCGTCAGTATCTGCTGGAGGTGATTAAAGCTGTCATAATAGTTTCTCTCCACATAATTGAGTCCTGTTTGAACTGCTTTCTTTTTGGGGGGTATAGGGGATCCTGAAACAAGCACCGTCAGGAAAGAGGATGGTGAAACATGGATTTCTTATTCACTGGAAAAGCTTTGAAAGACTTTTTTTTTAAAGTTCTGGCAAAGTGTGAGCAAGGGGAGCAAAGGAAATGTTTTTCAGGCTTCCTTTCTTTAAATGTATCATAATGGAGTTTTTAAGAATTTTCCTGCTGGAAAAGTTAACTTAAATCCTATGCGAACGACAGCAAGAGATTTATAACGATATGAAAACCACTACTGGATGGACACAATCCCACAAACTTGGAGTTCACGGTTACATATGGGATGAAACGGTGCCTTTTTTTTTGTCTGTTTAGTCCATTTTTTCCTTTAAGCTTGTTGGCTGCTGTGTGACCTGTCAAGTTAA